CAACAACAAAGAAAAAAAACAGAGGAAAATAGTCTAAAAATAATATGGCACTAAATACATATCTATCAATAATCATCTTAAATGTAACTGGCTCAAATGCTCTAACTGAAAGACATGGGGTAGTTGAATGGATAAGAAAACAAGACCCATATATATGCTGCCTCCAAGAAACCCATCTCAGATCAAAAGACACACAATGACTAAAAGTAAAGGGATGAAGAAAGATATTTCATGTAAAGGCAAAGGAAAAAAAACCTGGGGTAGAGTACTTACATCCAACAAAACAGACTTTAACCAAGGCCACATTAAGAGACAAAGAAGGACATTACATAACGATAACTGGAACAATCCAACAAGAGGACATTACCCAAGTAAACATCTATGTACCCAACACAGAGGCACCTAAATATGTGAACCAAATCTTGATGGACATAAAGGGAGAGACTGACAGAAATACAGTTATAGTTGGGGAATTTAATACCCCATTGACTTCAATGGATAGATCTTCCAGACGGAAATTCAACAAGGAGACATTGGCCTTCAATGACACACCAGATCAAATGGATTTAATCAGTATCTTCAGAGCATCTCACCCCAAAGCAGCAGAATATACATGCTTTTCAATTGCATATGGAATGTTCTCGAGGATAGACCACATGTTCAGACACAAAACAAGTCTCAATAAATTTAAGAGACTGAAATCATATCAAGCATCTTCTCTGACCACAATACTATGAAACTAGAAATAAATCACAAGAATAACACTGAAAAACATTCAGAAACATGGAAGCTAAATAACATGTTATTAAACAATGAATGGGTCAACAATGAGATCAAGATATAAATCAAAAGATGCCTTGAAACAAATGAAAATGAGGACACAACAATCCCAAATTTATGGGGTACTTGGAAAGCAATCGTAAGAGGGAAATTCATAGCATTGCAGGCGTATCTCAAAACTACAACAAAAAGCTCAAATAAACAATCTAACTTTAGGACTTCTTTTTCAAGTCCTTTAAGTTAGGATTTGAAAAGGAAAAACAAACTCCAAAGTGAGTACAAGAAAGAAAATAATGAAGATCAGAGCAGAAATAAATGAAATAATCTTAAAAAATGATACAAAAGATCAATGAATCCAAGAGCAAATTCTTTCAAAAGGTAAACATGTTTGACAAACCCTTAACCAAGACTCATCCAGAACAAAAGAGAGAGGACCCAAGTAAATAAAATCAGAAGTGAAAGAGGAGAAATAACAACTGACACCAAAGAAATGAAAAGCATTATAAGAAAAATACTATGAACAATTATATGCCAACAAACTGGACCACCTGGATGAAAAGGATAAAGTCCTAAAACCAAAGATTCTTCCAAAACTAAATCAGAAAGAGTCAGAGAATCTGAAGACAGATAACACCTAGTGCATTTGAAGCAGCAATCAAAATGCTCCCAACAAACAAAAGCCCTGGACCAGATGGCTTCAAAGGTGAATTTTACTAAACATTCCAAGAACTAATACCTTTCTTTTTCAAACTATTTCAGAAAATTTGAGGGAAGGGAAGGCTCCCAAACTCATTTTATGAGGCCAGTATTATCTTAATTCCAAAACCAGATAAAGACATTACAAAGAAATAAAATTATAGGCCAATATCCCTGATGAACATAGATGCTAAAATCCTCAACAAAACATTAGCAAACATAATACCGCAGTGAATCAGAAAGATCATACACCATGATCAAGTGGGATTTATTCTGGGAATGTAAGGTTGGTACAACATTTGCAAATCAATAAATATGACTCACCACATAAAATGAAGGAAAAAAACACATGATCATATAAATAGATATAGAAAAAAGCATTTGATAAAACCCAGCACCCATTTATAATCAAAACTCTCAATAAAGTAGGGTTAGAGGGGACATACCTAAATATAATAAAGGCCATATGTCACAAACCCACTGCCAGCATTGTACTCAATGAGCAAAAAATACAAGCATTCCCCTTAAGATCAGGAATGAGACAGGGATATCCACTTTCACCTCTTTTATTCAATGTAGTACTGATAGTACTAGGCACAGCAACCAGACAAGAAGAAGAAATAAAAGGCATCCAAATTGAAAAGGAAGACATAAAGCTGTCATTATTTGCAGATGACATGATACTGTACATAGAGATCCAAGAAATTACTAGTACTAACAAATGAATTCAGCAAAGTAGCAGGATACAAAATTAATATCCAGAAATAAGTTGCATTTTTATATGCCAATAATGAACTAACTGAAAAGAAAATTAAGAAAACAATCCCATTCACAATTACTTCAAAAAGAATAAAATACCTAGGAATAAACCTAACCAAGGATATAAAAGACCTATACTCAGACACTGAAGAAAGAAACTGAAGAAGATAAAAATAAGTGGAAGCACATACCATGCTCATGGATAGGAAGAATCAACATCATTATAATGTCCATACTACTTAAAGCAATCTGTAGATTCAAAGCAATTCATATTAAGATTCCAATGCCATATTTCACAGAACTGGAACAAATATTGCAAAAATTTATATGGAACCACAAAAGGCCCTGCATAGCAACAGCAATCCTGAGAAAGAAGAACAAAGTTGGAGGAATCATCCTATCCAATAGCCTAAAATCAAACTACACTACAAGACCATAGTAATTAAAACAGCATGGTACTGGCATAAAAACAGACACATAGAACAAAGAATAGAGAGTTCAAAAATAAACCCATACCTTTATAGTTGATAAATATTTGACAGAGGAAGCAAGCACATACAATGGGATCAAGATAGTTTATTCAATAAATGGTGTTGGAAAAATTGGACAGATATGTATAGAAAAATGAAACCAGACCACCTTTTTCACAACACACAAGAATAAATTAAAAATGGATCAAAGACTTAAATGTTAGGCCAAAAGCATAAAAGTCATAGAAGAAAACTTAGGCAGCAAAATCTTGGACATTGCTCATAATATTTTATCAGATATATCTCCTCAGGCAAGGGACACAAAAGAAAAAAATTTAAAATGGGACTACATCAAACGAGAAAGTTTTTGCACAGCAAAGGAAATCATCAACAAAATAAAAAGGCAACCCACAGAATTGGAGAACATATTTGCCAATACATCAGATAAGGTATTAATATCCAAAATTTATAAAGAAGTTAAAAAACTCAACACCCAAAAACAAACAACCCATTTAAAAATTGGGCAAAGGGCCTGAGTAGACATTTCTCCAAAGAGGACATATAGATGGCCAATAGACATATGAAAAGATGCTCAAGCCCTGGCTGGTGTGGCTCAGTGGATTGAGTGCGGGCTGCAAACCAAACTATCGCAGGTTCGATTCCCAGTCAGGGCACATGCCTGGGTTGCAGGCCATGACCCCCAGCAACCGCACCTTGATGTTTCTCTCTCTCTATCTTTCTCCCTCCCTTCCTTCTCTAAAAATAAATAAAATCTTTAAAAAAAGAACTATATTAAAAAAAAGATGCTCAACATCACTAATCATCAGAGAAATGCAAATTAAAACCACAATGAGATATCATCTCACACCTGCCAGAATGAATATCTTCAATAAATCAACAAACAATAAGTGCTGGTGAGGATGTGGAGAAAGGAGAACACTTTTGCACTGTTGGTGGAAATGCAGACTGGTGCAGCCACTGTGGAAAGCAGTACAGAGATACCTCAAATAATTAAAAATTTAACATTTAAAATTAAAATTGCCTTTTGACCCAGCAATCCCACTTCTGGAAATATACCCAAAAGAAACCAAAACACTAATGCAAAAGAACATAAGCACCCCTATGGTTACTGCAGTATTATTTACAATAGTGAAGATTTGGAAGCAGCCCAAGTGTCTGTCAGTAGATGAGTGTATAAAACAACTATAGGGCATTTACACAATAGAATACTACTTGGCCATAAAAAAGAAAGAAAATTTTACCCTTTGGGACAGTATGGATGTACATGGAGAACATTATGCTAAGTGAAATAAGCCAGTCAGAGAAAGACAAATACAAATGATTTCACTCATATGTGGAATTTAATGAACAAGCTGAACTAACAATGAAAACAGATACAGACTCATAGAGAGAGAAGATGACAGCTAAGCGGGAAGAGGGGAAGGTTAGAGAGTGGAGGGGTTGAGCAAAAGGAAAAAGGACCCATGGACAATAGTTTGACAATTATTGGGGGATGGGGGCATAAGGGGACTAAATAGCAGTGGAAAAATACAATTAAAAGTCTGCAAAAAAATGTAGAAAAAGAAAATTAAAAAAAAATAGGTCAAGTCCACTGTCAAAACATATGCAGGGTGGATGGGGAGCAGGGATAACTTTTTCCTAAGGGAATTTTCATGATTTTTATTACAAGTTTATAAAGTAATAAATGCAACTTTTTTCTTCCATAAAAATATAGAATAAAATAAACCAAAACAAAAAAGTAAGGAGCTTATCACTTAGAAGTACTTCCTTTCCACTCAAGACCTCATCTTTGGTCCCAAGGGTCTTTTACAGGCCACATGCTTAGTCCCAAGACAAATGCAGACAAAGCTCAGCCAACAATAAACTGCCTTTGGCACCAAAGAAGTACTCGGGTTTCTGTACATGGTGTCTACGAGTGTTGTAAGGGCCTGTTGTCCTTGTTGAAAAGCACACCACTGTGACAAAGACACAGTCCCCGTTTTCTTGGAGGACAGTGGAGAAGGGATCCCTGCACCCTGCTTCCCCGTCAGAACCCACTAGTTAGTGTGGTCTTGTGCAAACACTGCAATCCATTTTCTACTTTAAATAATTCTTCATGGCCAGAGCTCTACTAGCTCTAAGAGGTCTAAAATAATTTTGCTCAGCATTTGGTTCTGCCCCACAAAAGAACATTATTTCTAATGGTAACGAGCAAGGAGTCTACTCAGAAAACAAAGCATGATATCAAGGTGCCAACATTCTGAATATATTTATTCATTTTGTATTTATGGATGGAAAAACTTTTCCATGCTACAAAGTTTTGTTAAAAACAAGTGGTTGCAAAACAGTAAGTCACAGCTACAACTATTTTCTATTGTAAACAGACTAAGAAGCAGAAAATAGGTAACAGAAGCAACTACTTTGATATACACAGTCAATTGTTTTCTGTTGTAAAACTGATATGAATACCACCATTTTTATTTCTTTGTAGTGTTTTCCCTTAAGACACATTTTTTTAACTGAACATAGCTTTGCACTTGTCTTACCAGTTCTGGCTTATAGTACACCAAAGAATTACAGAAACTGTTTTCCTATGAAGTGGGAGTAGGGCTTATTTTTTGCCATGTGGTCATTTATACAAAACAAATGAAAAAGAAGCAAGGTACAAAAACATGTGTGTGTGTGTGTGTGTGTGTGTCGCTGCAGGAGCAGGCACGCACTCATGGCTGTGAATACTGACTGGTATGAACATCTTTTAACGAGGTGATCATCAAAATCATATACAATAGCCATTAAAAACTCACTTAGCTAGCAGCTAAGAAAATCATTGGCTTGGTTAATCAAAGACCAGACAAACAGAATTCCTGGATACTGTTTCCATTTGGGTTTTCCAGTTCATATGGTTCCAGCTGGCGGTACTCAAAAGTCACACGATTTATGTGTTTTCCACTGGAGATCATACGCACCACCACGTTGTCGCAGCCAATTTTCATCTGGGCTGTAATTTATGGAGAAAGTAGAAGTTTCCCAGCAAGTTAGAAACCACACTGTAAAATCATTTTTGTCAACAAGATCATTTAAACACAAAGAAAGCGAGAGGACATCTCTTCCTCTCACGTACCCAAGCCATGCCTCTGCCAGTAGGGGAAACATGTTCGTTTTCATTTTGATGATAATATTTGAAGAATCGTGCAACTGAACTCCACTTTTCTCCTCATGTGCAAGAATGCTGTTAGCCAAATAAATCTGGCTGTGGAGAGGCAAGAAGATGTCTCCTTGCACTTTTCAGAGTCTACCTGCAAGACTTTGGTAGGAAAGGCAGTGTCTCTCCACACTACACCTTGCCTCGAGTTCCCTGTCCTCCATGGAGACAGTACCGCCCTCCAGGAACAGGATGCAAATGAGCAGGGGTCTTTTTGGTTGTCATCTAAGGGTGCAAGTGGCATGCAATGGGCAGGGCTAGAGGACAGAGTGTGCTGCTGGACATTTATGTAGACCCCCAAAATCACCTGCTTATCATTTTCTGAGCTTAGATAATAATTGTTTTATATATAAACAAAACATCTTTTGGATGATTTAGATGTAGCACACTGAATATATTTGGTTTTGTTCTACTGTCCACCTACACTGCTTCTCTCTCATTTTCTCCTGGGCTTCATATAAAGAATGACTTTTGATATGCTTTCTTCTCTTAAATCCAATCTTATTCATTATTTTACGTATCACTGGGTGCAGATGTACCTGAGCAGGTATAGATTGAAACACCTTATTTTTTATTAAAAATTACTTCTATTTTCTTTCTCCAGCCTCAGGCTGGTTCCTGAGACAAGATTTATCTGACCTGCAATAATCCTTTCTGTTTTAATTTTTTTAGCCACGTCTCCCCCTTTGTCTCCTTAAGGCCTTCAGTCTGAGAAACACTAGCACTGTTGCATAGCTGGTACTTTACAAACATGTGCCTGGATTTAAATGAAGTAAAACAGCCAGAGAGAGCTACGTATGGGGTTGAAGGTCAATGTGGAGGAGACATAACAGATATAAACCCTAGAGTTATTTCAATGTAAGAACTAAAGGGTCTGTGCTCTGCTTCCACGAGGAGCCCAAATTTAATTTTCCTTAAGTGATTTGGAAGGTCATCCTTTTTCAGATATTAGTCTGAACTTTAATCTACATGACATGCCCTATTTCTTTTAGTTAATGTGCATATTATTTATTTATTATTTGCTGTAATTACTAAGAAACTCCAGTTTAAAGACCAGGATGCCTAGCGGTTCTTCATTGTTGAACAGCTTAGGAGGGCTCATGGAAACATGGTGAATGAAAGTAAAAAGTGAAAGAAAAATTCAAGCCTCTAAATTATTTTAAGACTAGTTTCAATTCTCTGGATAATTTAGGAAAAAGTGTTTATTTAGTTTTACTTTTTTGGCATTAGTCTTACCCTTATACCTAATTCAAGTAATATAGTTGAAGCACCAAAATTACTCTCACTTCAATTATCTAATATTAAGTCTCGAGTGTTTTTTGTACTTAATCTAATCCTCTTACCCGGCTCTAATTCATCTCCTCACAGGTGTTATTGCATGGAAGGGTCCAGTGCCTCAGAGAACACATGCAAATGGCAAGAGAAGCCACTTGCACTGATAGTTTCAACCAGGGCTCAAATGTAAAGTAGCATAAAATAATCCTTTGTTCTCAGCAAAGTGAGTTGTTAGAATTCTCTTGCCTTTACCTTTGTAAAAAGCCTGCACTGGCCCTGGCTGGTGTGGCTCAGTGGATCGAGCACTGGCCTGAGGACCAAAGGGTTGCTGGTTCAATTCCCAGTTAGGGTACATGCCTGGGCCATGGGGCAGGTCCCCAGTGGGGGATTCGTGAGAGGCAACTACACATTGATGTTCTCTCCTTCTCTTTCTCCCTCCCTCCCTTCCCATCTGTCTAAAAATAAATAAATAAAATCTGAAAGAAAGTAAGAAAGAAAGCAAGCAAGCTAGCTTGCCCTGGACCCCATCCTGCCTTCAGTCTCATCTGTCGTTCTCTCACACAGGTGTGTCTGGGTGACAGTGGAGTACTGCATGGAGGGCCTCAGCGTTTACCTGCACATATTAATTCTATTTCAGAGATGCTTTGTTTATTCAGGTCCCAGTATTAGCTCAGAGAGAGAAAATACTGGTGGGAAGACCTGGTTTTAATTAAAACAGGCAAGAGCTTATCAAAGGATGTCTGATTTGTAGCTTCATCACGTAGCTGGTTAGTGATCTGGGGTTACAAGAAAGAAAAGAGGCTATAATTAGAATTCACCACGAGATGAAAGATTGTTGTTGTTTCTCTTCTGTTTTCGTTTTGTCTCTTTAGAGATAGTCTGTGATTCCGTCCCAGTTTTACATAGGGCCAACCTTACACATGCATCTTTGTTACTTCATAGCTTTCTCTCCCAATGTCAAACATTTGGGTAATGCATTCTTAATAGTGTAAATGTAGAATCTTCACATTGGCTCAATGTGCAAAATTGAAGTGTTTTTGGTAGGACTTGCCTTCTTATGTACAAACAATCTGAGGCGTTTTACCAAAGAAAATACTCTTGGTGGGCACATAAATAATGATCAAAGAAACATCTCACCAGGGCCATGGAAGGGATAGCAGAGATCAGCTAAAGGCATCATCTTGGAAGGGTCCAATCCAGCGCCTCCCAGCAGCTCCACAAAGTCTCCCTTTCCCTCACAGCCTGTGGAGGGTTTCTGAGAGAAGAGAGACACAGGGAAAGATATGTTTAAACCAACTGTGGACATTAAACCGTGGGACCAATGGCAGGCTGATGAATTCACTTGATCAGCAGCCCCAGACATCCTGATAGTGCCATTTAGTTCAACATCCAGGACTATGGGAATTAAAAAACACTTAAAAGAAAAAAATTATGACAATTGCCTTTCTAAATCAGTTGAGTGGTCATTTTAAAAAATGTATGTGCATTTTTAAAATAAGCTCAAGGACTGGAATGATGCAATGGGAATCTCTGAACTCCATCCAAGATGAATGGAAAATGAATCTGAAAATGCTTTGCTTTTTAAACCATTTGGATAATACATACTGGAATATTTAAATTTCTTAATGCATGCAGTCAGAGTTTTTATAAATAGGGCTTTCACATTAGCTTTCCTTCAACTCACCTCCTCTTCTTTATAAAGGACTTTTCTTCTATCGAAACAATCCTTATCATTTCTACTGATAAGGATTTAGATTACTTATTTAGATTACTAAATATTAAAGAAAGATGAGAACCCTGATTTTGGTCTCAGGTTATTGAGAGTTACCACTGTCTCTCCTACCAACTGTAACAAATTTATTTCAAGCTACTCAAAATAAGAATCTAGTCTAAGACCTTGTGTGATCCACCATAACAACCTCTTTCTGCTACCCTTCATCCTTCCCACACTGTCTTGTGCACAGTAACTCCTATGCTTCACTCGCCCACACGAAGAAGCCCCAGAGGCGGACCACCCATCTCCTCTGATCAAGACTGGCCCCGTGTGCATGCCACCTGTGATGCCACACAGGGCCCATGTTTAATGCTCTGCTGTCGCTATCTTGAAATTCTTAACAATTTTCAAATAAGGGCCCTGCATTTTTATCTTGTATTGTGCCCTACAAATGATGTAGCTGGTTTTGCCTGTGGTTCTATTCTTCACGGAGGCATACTCATCAAGAGACCCAGTGGAGTGTGGAAAGGTACTCAGAAGTTAACCAGATAAACCCAACACATAGGGACTCAGAACTAAATTGGTGAACCTTAAACACACACACATAAGCATACACATTCAAACACTTAGAAGACATTGAAATAAAACTGGAACTAAACAACAAATTATAAAATATTATAACAATGACTGTTCGGTTAATGAAAGGAAGCAGGTGGGAACATATACTTTTAAAGTGCCTACTATGTGCTGGGTTCTATGCCTAAGTGCTTTACACACAATTTCATCAAATAATGAAATAGAGGATTAATTAGCCTCATTGTGTATAGGGCCCATGTTCTTTTATGAAGAGTTAAATAAGCCATTTAGGGGTAAAGAAAAAGAAACTTAACTGCCTTTCCCTTGAGTAGAGAATGTCCAGAGGGAGCATCTCCTAAGACTAAAATTTTCCACTTGGTTCCTTAGGTTCCCAATTTCAGCAGGAGGTAGTGAAGGGAAAAGGAGAGGGAGATAGGACATAAAGATGATGAGAAGAAGTAGAAGCTAAAATGAAGGGAACACAACAAAGAAACAAGGACGCTGGTGCCCCTATTCCTTGGTGTTCAGTGACCTTTTTCTCTTCTTCCCAAACCTCTCGGCTATTCTCGTAATCAAACTCAGAAGCTGAGTTGTATAGGGACTTCTCTGGAGTTCAGCTCCTTAAAAGTGACCCCTTAGAGTTCTTTGCTGAGGTTCTAGTTCCCTGGACTCAGGGGACTATCATTTCTTGTCTAGGCTATGACATCAGCCCCCCACATGCACGCCTTGAACCACTCTGGCCCCGATGGTAATCCTCTTTCTTTCTCCTTGGACATTGTTAATTAATTTGGTCATGATGTCAGCAATTCCCAACCACCTTCACCCCACCTGAGCATAATCAAGTATGTTATGTCACTTCCTGCCTCCACCCCTGCAGCGCACTTAGAATGAACTCACACTCCTTCATGTGACCTGCTAAGCTCTGCACACCCTGGCCCTGCCCATCTCCCTGACACTGTCTCATATCACTTACCCTCTAGCTTTCCTTCTTTCCATTTCCGGAACCAAGCAAGCTCATTTCTGCCTCTGGGCCTCTACACTTCTGTTCTCTCTGTTCCTGGTTTTTCCTGTACCTGCTAGCTCCTTCTAACCTATCACTAAAGTCTCACTTTAAATATCTCCTCAGAAGGTTTCTCTCCTGACCATCTTGTCTCAAAGAGATCCCCATCCCTCCTTCTGCTCCCTTGTCCCTGGTCACTGTCCATCGCGGCACTCCATTCTCTGTAGGGCACTCACCACTAGCTGAACTATTTTTCACTTTTGTCTGTCACAGGCCACTGGAAGGCAGGTTTCATGCGAGCAAGATCTGTTTTGTTCATTGCTAATTTCCAGCATCTAGAATAGTGCCTTGCACATGGTGAGCACTCAAGCAAATAATTTGCAAAGAAAAAGATGCCTAGAAGAATGCAGACTTTAAATTTTTTAAAGAGGAAAAACAAAGATTACTCCTCATAGCCAAGAATAACTGAAGCGCAGATCTTCCAGTCTGGTATCACACTTGCCATCTACTAGACTGTATATCAAGCATGACATACAAACAATCTCAAGCCAATAGGCTGTGTCAGAGACACCCACTTATTCTTGTCTTTACCAAAGAAATATTCTACCACTGAGGTCCAAAAAAACCAAAAATGAAATTTAAAAAAAAATCACTGGCCCATGAATTTTGGCCTTAAAGGAAATTAGATACACTCCTTTCCTTGGTCCTGATCCTATTTGGCTTTCCCTGAAATCTGTCTGATTAGGAACTATGACTGTCTTTGATGCCAGCAAATACATGAGCTATCTTAACCTCAGCATATGATAAAGTAAAGGGAAATGAGTATGACTCAGAGGGAAGAAGCTACCAATGCAAGTAAATCTGGTCAAGCTCAGCATTAACTTTAAGATCCATACAGAAGTTCATGGGAAAACAAGTTGGTGGAGAATCTCAGCTAATATTTGTTGCAAAATGTATTGAGTTAAATGTAATGCAAAAAAAAAAAACCCTCTTCAAAACTTTACTGTATTTTCCCATATAAAAATCCAATTTCATATTTTATGCTACACTTAGCATTTCTTTATAACACAGTCAATGAGTTATTTCCTTCATGTCAAAAGAAAATTCCAATACTCAGAAAAACAGCTGTGTAGATGACTCACACTAGGTTCTGCTAGGAGAGAATTTTTTTTAAAAGAGGGAAGTACAAGAGAGTTCAATTGTAATTATATGCCACACATTTACCAATTGGAAACATTTCTTGCATCACAAGGAAAGTATTCAATGGGTGCAGGAACACCTGAGTATGCATCTTGCAGTATAATGGGAACAGAAGAGGGGTTTAGTTAAAGCAGCGAGAACACACACAGGTGAGACTTCACAGTCAAACAAGAGGCCCTACTAATTCCAGTTTGCTAATGTCTGTGTTTACCCTGCATGATTACTTTTGCTCTGATGAGGCTGTGGCTTTAGTAAGTGATTTGAAAGCAAGTACGCAACTCACCTTTAACTGCAAGCCATTTAAGTGTCCCAGGGTGACATCAGATATTTTGATCGCCACAGGATAAATGATGGAGAAGCTGCAGTTTCGATGCTGATGTGGAACTACCAGTGTGAACCTTCCATTTGGGGTCTGGGAAATGACATTGCAGGCTTTGCAGAGAAAGAAAAATCTCATTTTCACTACTTGATATTCTGGTTTTTATAGACACTTACCCCGTCCTTATTCTAGGCTCCTATTCATGGTCTAGGGCCTTGTGGCTTGGAAGAGAGTACATTTCACAAAGGCAGTTTGGAGGGGAAGGGGCTGAGGAGTGCAAATCACCAGTGATGCATGGACACTGTCAGGAGGCTCTGGGCTGCAGGGGCTCCTAATCTTAATCTGGGGGGAGGGTATTTGTCCATAATAATCACAAGGCATAAATTCATAACCAGCCAGACAATACTGGCCGCTAGAAACTTTAGGAACACTTCAGATAATTGGGGCCCAAGTTCAAGCTGGGAGTCTAGAATAATCAAGGCTTTAAAGAGGAGGCCAGACCTCAAACCCTGTCTGAAGCCCTCGTTCATAGAACTGTAGTCATATGTTATTGTTTAAATAATAAAATAAATAAACAATAAAGCAGTCACAAAATAGGCTGAAAGAAAGTAGAAAGAAAGCAGGCTTACATTTGAATAAATACTTGCTGGGAATTTAGGGGTAAGTTGACCAAAAGACAAATTTTAATGTTTAATTTACTCCAAAGAATTTCTGAAATTTTTTGTTTTGTATATCAAGCCTAGACTTACAAATTTATTCTTCTAGCTATGAAACTAGAAAATGATAGTTTGTGCCTTCTTTTTAACAAAGTTTCTGCTTGACGAGAATAGAACTCCCTCTTGCCTCCTTCCATACTTTTAATTCCACTTAATTTCAGAAAGAACTGCAATTCCTTGATGATTCTAGAAGGTTTTTGATTTATAACCAAACAAAATAGAAGAGACACATATCATTTTTTGCCCTCTAGGATTATTCTGCTCCAGTCCTCAGAAACAGCCTCTTTTGGAGGCTTCTTTCAAAAAACTAAAAAACAAAACACAAAAAAATCTAAAGCTTAGTCAGTACATTATTCTTTGGCAGATTAGGCCCACTTTTTGACTACATTAAGTTTTAACATTATCGTATGCTACCAAAAATAAGTGTAAGTTTTCCTTCCCTGAAACTAATTATTTTTCTTTTAATGGGGGAAAAATAGGCAGATAAATGAACTCATTTTGATTAAGATAATGTATTTTAGAGCTGGGCTATTCAGCTTTTTAGCATCTTTGTGCATAGCCATCAGCAATGAACTGTATTACAGTTCATGGTGGGGAGGGGCTCTGAATCAGAAGGCAGCTTGGAAATCCTGGCCCAGCCTTCTGCCCAGGCATGAAAGCCGTACCCCAAATATGCAGCCTTTTGGCCTTTGCCTCAACATCTAAAATTGCAAGTTTGTATCCGATCCCTCAGGTTTATCCCAGATGAGTGGAATGACTTGGAGGGGTTAAAGTTTTTTACTGAATGCATTGTACTTTAGGAGATCAGAATGAGACATTGATGGAAAAAACGAATTCCATTCCCCATAAAGTAGTATTCTACCTAGCCTGGGAAACAAATTGAAAACTGTGATTTGATTTTCATAATAATAAACAGAAAATATTCTTTTGATCATTTCTAATTACAAAAGAATTTCCATTCAAATCATTCCTCACTTCAAATTTCTTAAGTCTGTGCAAAACCGTCTTTGAAAAGCAGATATGACCTCCCTCCCCCTCATGCCTTCCGCCTGAGGAGACAGAGCGCCCACTTACGAAAGAGGTTGGGGTCTGTCCTGATGGTTAGTGTGAACCCATTTCCTGGCTCATGGACCCGGAAGAAGATCATGGCCACGTTCTGGGAGGATCTGATGCTCCTTCTGCTAAGACCACTCTCACAGAAGTCTATGTACCGCTCAGTGGTGGGGAGAGGATGATCCTGGGAACTGGGGAACTTCTCCCCCTTGAGAATCCAGCCGTCAAAGACCTTCCCACAAAACAGACAGAGGTGAGCACTTCCAGCCACGCCTCAGGTCACAGGTGTGACTGACACCTGCACTCCTCTGCCCGTGTGCTTTCCCCGTGTATCTATCCCGACTGTGAGGGTGACTTGCAAGTGACATCGTTAATTAATTACTGCTTTTTTCTTTAGAAACCTAAAAGTTTCCAAAATAAGTGAACTTTACTACACTTCAGGTACCTTGGTAAATCAAACTACAGACAATGTACATTTTTATCCTGGCCATATTTTCCACACATCCCAACTTCAGAAGAATTTCCCAGAAGCATAATTTGGGTTTCAGTTCTTCTCTTTTTCTCATTGAAATATGAACAAAATAGCTTCAAAAAAAAAGAAAAAAAAACACCCCAAAACTGAAGCTGCAACTTGACCTACCTGCCAATATATGCCTGTTCTCCTCATTTTTAAATTCTTATCAGATATCAAAATATTAGGAACTGCTTCAACACTCAGCGATGGCTGGTATATCGTTTAGGACTTTTCCTCCTTCGCGAGTTGAAGTTTGCAGTTGGACAAAAGGTCAGAGTCTACTGATTTTACTCTTAAAATCACCACAGGTCTCCAGTCTAAGGAGTTCAATCTAGTTCACATTAGTAATGCCAGTTACAAATTACTTCACCAGACCAGTCCCTTCTGAAGCGTTTGACAGGTTCAAAAATAATTCCGCTGTGGAGGTTTTAATCACGATCATTTTAATTGGACTCTAGAACTCCATCAGCCATCCCCTGCTGATCCATTTAACTTCGGAAGAATGACTGGGATAGGGGGTGTTGTGAGGTTGGGGGCTTGTCCTCCCCTCCCACCCGCCTCCCAGTAGATTCCCTGTCAGCATCCCTACCAGCAGCCCGCACCCTACTGCTCCACATTCGGGTCACCCAGGCACTGAAGGCAGCCTTTATGACCCTGGAACACCTCCACAGGGAGAGGGAGCAGCAGGAGCAAAGCGGGCTTGGATCTTAGACTTGCGGGGCGGTCCTCCACCAGCACCCACCTGCTTGGTGGACCTGCCCCACTTAAACAGCGTTTAGCAACTCGAGTTCAAGTCTTTAGAAGTGTCGGACCCCAAGAGTGCACAGAGGGGATACTAAACCGGTCCTTCCCGGTGTGGGACGGCCCTTCCAGGTGTGGGACGAGGTCGTGAGGTTGAGGGGAGGTTCCCGTCGCATGGGGTTCCGGAACGCGCCTCTCCCACTCGGGCACCAGCGAAGTGTCTCATTAAGAGAGCCCCCGGCTCCCCAGGCTTGGTTGCGAGCGCTGGGTGCAGCACCCCTGCCCGTTCCTCCTCCCGTGCCCCTGCCCCGCAGCGGCTGGGGCTGCTCTGCTAGGGACGCCTCACCTTCAGGAAGTCCCCTCCCTGACAGTCGATGGACACCAGGTCGTAGTGGATGGTGATGAACTCCTCGGGCGCGCTGATGAAGAAGGCAGCGCAGTGCAGCTGCGGCCGGTCAGCAGTGAAGGTGAACTGGCCCTGGAGACTCAGCATGTCCAGGCACCCTGAGCGAGGGGAGTGGCAGTGGGGCCAGGCATCTGGGGCTGCAGCCACCGCGCAGTGCCAGGACCCCTCGCCTCCAGCGGTCCCTCTCAGTGCCCCCACTTCCAGCTTTGCAGCGCCCCAGCGCCCAACTCCCCGCTGGACTCCCAGCCTCAGCTGCGCGCTGCTCCTGCGCCCCAGGGCGCATCCCCTCATCTCGCCCCTTCACTCCTCATGGGACCTCCTTCGCAACGGAAATCATGCCCCGGACCATCCGGACCATCCTCGCTAGCCCCTTCACAGCGAGGGCCAGGAGCCTCCTTCCTTCCGAACAGAGCCCAAACCTCCCCACACCCCCATCTCTGCTGCGCTCGAACACAGCCCGGCAGCCCCGGACTCACGCAGAGCTCGGCGATAGAGCTGTTCCCCCGCCAGCTCCCGCTTCAGGTCGGCGCTGAAGAGCAGGAAAGGGTCGTGGTCCCCGGTTTCCCGCAGCTGGCAAGGAAAGTGGGTCAGTTGGGTAAAGTTCAAGGGATGGGGAGAAGAGGACCAGGAGCAGGGCACCCTCTCTGCCTTACAGCAAAGAGAATAAAGTGATGGGATCCTTTCCATCAGCCTAGGGTATCCTCGGTGGGCAAAGGAAAGGTGGAAGAAGCAGGAAGGAAGACCAGTCTGCGGAAAACCAGGGGAGAAACCAGTACAAAAGATGAAGAAAGAACTAACCCCAACAAAGGCAAGAGCCTAGGCAGCCTGCTGGACCCTCATAGCTGGACACTCTCGCTCAGGAGGTGTGATGGGTCGGTCCTGGGATCACTCACCTCTAGGTATCGGCTCTCCCCTCTCAGAGCCACCAGGAATATCAGGATGAAGTGACATTGAAGTTTGAAGGAAGGAGACATGCTAGCCTTGTCTCTGTAGCCGGTGTGCTCTGCTGGAAGGTCTGGAGCTTTGCTTCCACACCTTGTCCAGGCTGAGAGCTGGAAGCTGGTAGGGTCCCTTGCTGGGTCTCTTTTATAGAGCAGTGAGGAGGGAAGGCTCTCTGCTCCTTAACTGATCGGAGCTCAGTAACCATGGGTTACCCTGTCTCAGTGACACAGTGTGTGGTGATGACGAAGGTCCAGCTCTCATCCCAAATTTTCAGAGTGGTCTAGCATTATTCACCAAAAACAATTTCAGGTCTATTACAACTTTCTAAATCAAAATGTGAGAGGGAATGAGGCAGGGACAGAGAATAAAGGAGGACATTTACTTGGCCTGGTGAATGCTTAATTATTCTCTCCTGTGGGTATTCAGGGGATTTTTGGTTTTGCAAAGCAAAGTGACAATGTTACACTCATGCATAAAATACCCAATACATACAACCTCCTCATGCAGACTTGTCACATAAACTTGGATAGACTCATGCTGAAAATTGTCAGAAAACATTGTATTTATGCAACTGCTCATGCCTCTCAGAAAGAAGCTTGAGGCATTTTTAGCTCCAAAGAGAAGCTGAACAGAAGCTGAAATCTGATTTTGCAGAATATTGCAATAATATAATTCAGTCTTCCTTTCTGTCCCTTAGTCTTTGCTTTATCTTGGTCCAGTTTCTTGTAAGCAAGCCCTTAATGGAAAGCTACATCTGGCGTCTGTGGACATCTGCATTTCAGCTGAGCTCTGTCACTTAGCTTGGAAGTATGTGCATCAGACACACTCTGGGGCCAGCTAACTGCAACCATGATCACAGCATCCATCGGAACCACTGGGAGATGAAATCATTCCACTTTATACCTTCAGATACCTGGGTTAATACCCGTGTAGAATGAACTGCCCCAGTGCTTAATTATAATTGCTCATCAGCCAATTTACAAGGCTAAACAAATGACTTAGAGGACCAGAAATAAGTAAAGAATAAGCTTATCTTTGCTAATTAGACATAAAGAGAATTGCTTCTCCTTTATGTCCACAATAGTAGGAAATGTGGGGTCACACCACATTTGCTTTCCCACCCCTTTTCAATCGATGTGCTTAGCAAAGCAACTACAGATTCTAAACACTTCATTTTGTTTTACCACTGCCTGACAAAAAACATGGCTTTCATTGTTATGAAAATTGTTACAAATAATGAGATATTAATAGAGTTCTAAATCAAGAAAATGGTCCTATTTTTAGTTTATAAATACTCAGAATTAAGCAATAATTTACCTAGAGGTGTCAGAACTTAACATTTTCATATTTAAAACAATTCTGAGCTCTGAAAGAGCTGACCCTTAGTTGTTTAAATAAGAGGGCTTCCTGCCATAGCCCAACTTTGTCATCAGTCCTTAGACCAGAGAGCATGAGAGGGACATTTCCCCAAAGGTCATGAACACTGCCACCATGTCTTTCTCCCCATCCTGAGATTGTATAGGTGTCTACATTTTAGAGAGGGTATAAAGAAAGCAGAAAGGGTATAAAGAAAGCTGAGAGAAATAAAAGAGAAAAATAAATGGCTTAACCCCAACTTTCTTGGCCTCACACATGCCAGGCCAGCTTCAGGTACGTCTCTCACCAGTTTGCGTCTGGAGGGAGCCTCAGGCACACTTATCCCACATGCCACAGCCCAGTCTCCTTTCCCCTCAGCCTAGCCATGGCCTTGGCCTTCTCCCAGGATACTACCAAACATTTAGCTTGGAGACCCCTGTTTATCCTACTTTGGGGGTCTGGCTTTATTAGCATCACCACTGAGATACTACTCTTCTCCAGCCTCCCTCTACATACACACACACACACATACAAACTCACAGACAACAATAATGTCCCTAATGTGCATTGATAATGCTTCCTCCTCAGGAACCACACACAGGAAGAGCTGGGAATGAAGCAGGACAAACATAACCACAGATGGATAACATCCTATTTTACACAACAGCCCACAGTTTATAGAAAATAGATGTACTTTGTTCACACTGAATCCTATGTGGGGAAATTAATGTGTACTTTCCACTAGCTTAGCAAATATCTACTAAGCCAGTGGAAACAGCATTGTGGTTTTATATTTTGTTTTGTTTTTAAGAGTAACTAAAGGATGGAAACTAGAATCTATGGGGAAACTAAGAAGATAAACTTGGAAGACAGAGAGAAGCCAAGCAGCCATACTCTATGAACAAAGGTATTAAAAATGGGTGAGAACAATGGAAGAGTAATTTGGATTAGACAGAAGACAAAGGTTTCTGAATAATAAGTAGGTCTCTGTCTGAGGACTAAACATAAATTGTTTCTGTGAACTGATTTAGTCATTCAAACAACTGGGTTAATATTTGAAAGCTGTTTGTTCAGTCAAATTGACTGGTCATTGTGAAACACATTGTTAGGGAACTCAGAGTCTCCAGTCTGCTGTTGGAATCTTCACCTCCATTCTCTGCACACAGATTAGTTTCTCTTTGTATTTTCAAGATAACCTCTCCAATGCTGATTTAATACAGTCCCTGATCAGTGGGGGATTTTTTTTTAGGCCTTCAACTATTGTTAGGCAAGGTTAAGGCATCCTTTTTGTTAGGCAAAATGAAGACTTTTTTTCCTTTCACAAAGTTCCAGAGCGAATTCTCACCTGTGTTAAACCCGAAGGTGGAGGTGGCCACACAGTATAGATCCACATTCAACCCATGAGTGTGGGGCGGGGCAGGTGTTTAAATTGTGCTGAGACTGAAGAGGCACAGACAGAGAACTGCAAAGCAGCACAGACAGGGACTGAGTAGTCCTCCACATCATCTGTGATGTGACTGTGACAGCCAAGTGGAAGCTTATGGACTGATGTGTCAGAAGCACCAGTGAGAACTACATACTCCCAAATCTCTTTCTATTTAGGGTTGGCGCCAAGGCCCCTTCAAATGTTTCCTGTCTGTAACAGTAAATCTTTTCTTTCATTATTTTAAACAGAGAACACCACCACTCCTGGCTTTAGAAAACCTTCCTTTTCCCTTTCCCGACTGATACATTGAAATGTTGGGAAATGGGACATATGACTGAGTTCTCTAAGAAATAAATCAAGATAATTGAATAAAACTCATTGTAGTTCACTAACAACAACAACAACTAACTTTCAATTGTTTTCAAGATAACTCGCCCTTTGAATGAATTTAGCTTCTTTTTAATGCAACCCTTTTAAACATAATTTATTTTTCACAAGCGTTTGAGATTAAGAAGGAAGAAACTAAACAAATACACTTGGGGAAACAATATGAGTCAGCCTTTGAATTAAACCCTCGTATGTCATTGACTTTCAATCCAAATCCATCATATTCTTTTGCTATGGTTAAGACCACCAGCAATACTAGACATTAGGGTCTTGGGGGGTTGCAAGTGACTGACAGCAAATTTAAATGTAAGCAAAAAGGGGAATTATTAACAGGACACAGAGACATCTTCAGGAATACGCGGACAGGAAACAGGAAGCAGGGCCTCCAGCCCCACTTCCCGGTCCCTCTGTGTCAGGCCCCCTTTTCCACTCATCTTCAGTCTCTATGGCTGTGAGTCAGCCACGGACAATTCCTAAGCTTTCCATGTTTCCACTTGACAAACAAAAATACCCTGAACCAATGTTCTCAGAATCCCCAGGCCATGAAACTTTGTGGAGAAAGGCTCCTAGGCCGGAGCACAGGGTTTTGTCCCAACATGACTGTTTCCACGACTGCCATGTGGATGGAGAAGGGAGAAGCACTTTCCAGAAAAAGGGATGCTAGAGTCACAAAATAATGGCATCTTCAAAAGAGCAAAATATAACCATAAACAAAAGCCCTGGTTTAGTGACCTCTTTGATTGTAAGTTTTCTCATCTATAAAATTATTTTTATCACTGGGAATTATTGCAGGAATTTAATACTATGTACCATGTTTTTCAGACTATAAGATGCACCTTCCCCCCAAATTTGGGAGGAAAATGCAGTGACGACCTTGCTTCTGTCTCCTGTGACCCTGCTCCACTGCCACCCCCCTCACAGTGAGCCAGATAAGCTACATTCGGACTATAAGATGCACCCCCTTGTCCTCCCAAATTTGGTATGTCCTACATAGAGAATAGCCTTAAATACAGCTATTATTAAATTATACCAATTATAGTATGTTTTTATCACTGGGGCTTTCCTTCTAATGGTAAATTGATAAGAGGGCACGCATAGCATATGCTTTTCATATTATTATTAAAATAAAATGAATGGCTATTAGAACATTAACAGAGTTTAAAAGCCATAGAAAAAGAGAAAACTAAGTTAAAATATAATTATAGAACCTCATTTTCAAAAGATTAGCTAGGAATGGGCCCCATTAAAGATTATGTGACTTAATGCACAGTGGCTTAGCTGCATAAGAGAGAAAAGCTGAAACATAGAGAGAACAGAATCGAGAACATTGGGGAAAGGGTAAAGTCAAAGTTATAAAGCAGAAACAGAAGATAAGTAGGAACTGCCCAGAGAGAATAGTATTTTGACTCTATATAAAGGATTGTTGCATGACATCATCTCTTAAGGGCTTGGGGACACTGGGAATAAGAAAGCAATGATTTGACAAGAAGACTCCCAAACAGTGATAACGGGAAGAAAGAATAGAAATTAAAAGATCTGCCCAGATTACCACAATGAGTCAGAAACAAAGTCTAGACTAAAAAGATTCCTCTATATCCAGCCAGGTAATCAATCCTTCATCAAAGAAATTATCCCTGGAAATTAATTCAAAAAATTATATTTTAGGATTTAAAAGCTAATCAGCTAAGAGCAAAAAGGGAGGTGGTACCAGACAAAGCAGGGTGCATCACAACTGCAAAGAGATGGAGTGTCATTCATGTTTGTGCAATGGCTTCCTTGACTTTGGAGTGACATTGTTATCTCAACTCCCTTCTGGCTTCCTTTAAAATATGCCATGACTAACATCTAGCCAGTAGATCATAATGAAATGCCATTTAATAATCCCTCACTGCCTGCCTCAAGGGGAAAAGGACAGC